AAAAAATTATGTTTTTTTCTTGGCAATTGCGGGACAAGCTGGGAAAACTGCAATCCATAAAAAATCGCGCGAAACTCGTCAAACCGGCGCTGATCGGTGCCGATCCCAATCCGGGATGGTATGTCTACTGCGAATGATAGGTTGTATTATTATAGATAGGTCTTTACCTCTCTGATATTTTTTCTATTTTATTTCTGTCAACATGAAATCAGGAAATATACACGAATCCCCGAGTCCAAAAGGTGAATAATCACATCAAATCAGATAAAGGCAAGTGGGTCCTGCATGGATCAGATAACTTGAAATTTTTATCTGATCGAAAACTTGGCTGGGCTTTTTTTTTCCCTTCATTTCTGGTATTTATATTAATTACTAGATGTCTTTTTCTTTAAAAAAAAATAATAATAATAATTGAATTAAATTAAATTGGGCTTGACCGTAACTTCTTCTTCTCTTCATGCAATATAAAACCAAGGAATGTACAATGTACAATTCATAAGTGTCGCCAATTCCGCACTAAGTCAAAGTGGCTTTCTAAAGCTCCATCACCTGCCTAGTCGAGTCTTTACCGAGATGGAGCCTGCATACGCACTGTTATGAAATGGTAATTGTAAATTTATTCTATTCTTTTTAATCGGAAACGGCGCTTCCAAAATGCATCCGTACAATATATAAAATATAATTATAGCACATGTAGATCCTGCACCCCTTTTCCCTGAAGAAATTAGCGTTCCTAATTTGTTCTGATTTACATAATAGATGCTGTATTCTACTCAAATGACCCCATAGAATCCATGCATATGCCTCGTGTTTGTCTAGGTCCCATGGACTAGGCCGGTACCCGAGAGATTAGATCTTCCCCAATTTCCCACTAGGTTTCGGCTCTCTCTTCGGCGATATCGGATGTCTCCAGAGTGGAAACTACTATGTGATATCTTCCCCCCCCTCCCTGGGTCCTGTCGTTCGTCTCCATGCCGAGGTAGGTTTCAGATTGGGCCTATACGGTTCGGACATGTTTCGGGCTCCATTATTGAAAGCCGTTGAATGGACCTTATACGAGTTTCGTATAATAACATGGCATCGATTGCCTATTCTGTATCTATCTAGTATCTAGACAAGTTTAGAGAGATGACCACCCTAGCACAGTACAAAATACACAGTACCTAGTGTAACCAGCCAAGAAACCAACCTATTTGGATGGAGTACTCCATACATATTCAGTTAATCGTTGACCGCTACACTATTAAAAAGTTCGGGGCCATCAAGAAACATCAGGCCACACTGGACCCTTCGGCCATCAAGCATTCCTCGTCCCTGAAAGGCTGCAACCCTACAGCCAAGGTTGCACAGCCGGAGTCACTACTGCCGCTATCCCCGGTGTCAGGGTGCGAGGATCGTAAGCTACAGAAGTACCTTGCCACCTAGTGTGCGCTGGCATATGCACCTCCAGAGCTCTCATGCAGGTACGTTTCACACTGTAATGCGTAATGTAAAGTGTAAACCTGCCAATACATATCATATGTACCTGGACCTAGACCCAGTTCGACGCACCAATCGGCCCGTTCGGACGGGATAGCACTGCCCTTCCCAGGTAGGTATCTTTCCAGAAACCCCGAGAGAAGATCTGGAACTCGGCCTTTATGCAATGCGTTTGGTGCTTAGCTGCAGGGCCACTGCAGGGCCAAGAGACGATCTATCTTATCTGATGGGAATGGGAATTTGTGGGGGAGAGGGGGGGGTCAAGGTTAAGGACCTTGGACGCTATTAAGCGGGTTGTCATGTATACCGGATAGTCTCTTCCTGTTGCTCAAAGGCCAAGTCATCTCCCATAATAGTATATAGTAAAAGAAATCATTAATGTCTGACGTCAACTGTACAGGATCCGTTCTAAATGCAAAATGCAAACATTTGCTCGTGCCACGTGCCCCCAATGATGCAACACCGCGCTGATTTGTATAATAAAACACAGAGTACAAGGATATCAATGCAGAATCTGGAATCAAAAAAAACAAATGCAAACGCGCTCGGATCTCAGATCAGCTTACACCATGCGTTCGGGATCCTCGCCGGCAACGCTGCGGTAGCTCGGTCCCTCGTTGGACCGGTTGCCGGTGTGCATGCGCATTGGGGTTTCGTACATATCATGATAATTGATCACCTCGCCACCGAGCATCGCCGCCCCAGTCTGGCGCTTACCAAAGAGTGGAGCCGGGTCACACCAAAAGTCGCGGCAGTTGGTGACAACACCGCGGGAGAAGGGGTTGCGGGGGCGAGCCGTCTGGGGTCCGTCGCGAAGGCCGTCCTTGGCGGTGGTCCAAAAAGCGTCGATTCCGAGGAGAGACGACCATTGTTGGATGCAGCCGTTTTTCCGTCGGTGTGGGGAAGGGCCGCCGAGGGCCGGGTTGGGTCCTTGTCCGGAAGCCGAAAGACCAGCAGCTTCCATGGACGTGATTCCGGCGGTCATGGCCGATGCAAAGGCTTGGGAGCTTGGGTAGGACCGGTCAACGTGGTGGCCTCGCATGTTCTCGTAGGTTGTCTGGTTGCGAGAGATCTGGACGAGCTGGACGGCGCACAGCATCGTGACCCAGACCAGCTGGAGGGTGATCCACACATTAAGAATCAGCGTGAAGGGGTCGCGAGAGGCGTAGTCACACAGAGTGTCATTAATAACATTGCAGGTAGCATTGGTAGGAGCGGGGAGAGAATTGATATCTGTATCATGTTAGTTGACCGATCCTGGGTAATGTTTTCCCTCACCACGAAGAACCCACAGGCAATAGTCAGCTGCACAAACAGAATGATGCCAACTTCGAGGGAGACTATATAAAGAACAAAATGGCGGAGATTGTTGGCTCCAACACAGTTATCAATCCACGGGCAATGGCTATTCAAGAATTAGTGGTGAGATCAACGGAAATTTATCAAGGCACACATACTGGTCATGTTTCGCGACACAGCGCCCACAACGCCGACAGTGCCTGCTCCGGAGTGGCTTTCTTGTCATACAGGGGATGCAAAAGTTCTGTTCGTCAAATTTCCACTGCTCGAATAGTTCCTTAACAATCTCTCTCTGTTGATTTCTGCTGCCCACTTTCGGCACATAACCCGGGTCTTGGACCATGGAAAAGACGTAGAAATAAGCAGTGAAGCAGAAGAAGACCGCAAACAAGATGTTCAGGATTGGCGACGATAAGTAGGTTGCTGGCAGCACCTTGAAAGCATAGCGGAAGCCAACCCAGAACAACGTGCCTGCAAAGACACCAGCTAGATACGGTGTTTTCTGCAGAACGCGATATTCCATAGGCCCCTTGTTCGCAAATTGCTGTGCAACATACTGCATCCCGAAGAGTGTCACCAACACAAGGGGCACAGCAACGAAAATCGCCAGGTTACTGAGCATCCAGATGGTAACCAGGATCATCAAGAAAGGCCAGAGGAAGAAAAACTTGGCCATGATGCTCTTGTTGCGTACGAAGCTTGAAAGACCCAGAGGCACCACTTTCTGAGTGCCATCAGGTTCAAAGCCACGCTCGTTGAGCGAGCGGTACCAAACCCGCAGAGTGTTCATCTCCTGCGCCACAGTTGCAGGTGATTTTCCATCGCGGGTCTTTGCGAAACGGTCGGCGCCGTATTCAAGCAACTTCAGGACACAGGGCATCGAGCCCTTGACCAGCGCCCAATGAAGCGGTGTCAAGCCACCTTCGTCCACGGCATTTGCATTGGCGCCCCATCGCAGGAACAAATCCACACATGCAGGATACCCCTTGTATGCAGCCCACATCAGTCCAGTGTGTCCTTGTTGGTCCACAACGTCCACGGGGATCTCCTGGTGTAGAAGCAGCACGACTAGGAAAGCGTTGCCATCGATGGTGGCGAGGTGTAGGATGTTGTATCCTTGGACGTCCGTCAGGAGAGGATCCCCTCCATTCTGGAGTAGGAGGTTCACAATATAATAATGGCACCGTTGGGCAGCCCACATGGCTGGTGTTGCCACCGATTCTCCTCCTTTGGCATTGACGTCGGCCCCGGAGTCGATCAGGAATCTACACATCGCATATTGATTGTTGATTGCTGCCCACTAGAAATAGATAATGCGGTCAGTGAACAGATCCCTGTTATACATTGCGCTGGGTTATAACGAACATGCAACGGTGTAATCCCCTCCTCGTCGCGGTGGTTCGCGGTGAACTTTTTAGCCGTGAACAGTTTCTGCATAGTGCCAATCTCCCCCGTCCGAGCCAACTGCATAATATCCTCCCCCGGAGGAATTGAGCCTTTGGGAGGATCAGGGCGCAAGCTCTTCATCTCCACATCGTTTGGAGGAGTGGGTGTCCCGTTGCCATTCGAGGCGGAGGTGGAACCGGAGGTCTGGCCCGGGCTGGGGCCCCATGATTCTGGAGAGGTTTTGGTAGACATTTTTGGGGTTGTCTACTGTTGAATATGTATCGAATGCCACTCGAGGGCTGGAAAGGAGGCTCGATTCGAGGACTGGACTGTTTTGGTACGGTAGTCTAAAGGAACATCGCGGTTCCGTCACCGGCGCATCCACTGAGTTTTTTAATTGGTTTTCTTGAGGAAGCGCAGGTCAGAAGGTGTAAAAGATGGACAGAGGTAAATGGTCAGAGGTAGATGGTAAATGGGTAAACAGAGTCCAGAAGGCTGGAAGGTTAAAAAGGCGGACTCGGATTTGCGGAGACGCTAATCGACACGCGTCGGCAGGTACACTCTGTGCCTTGGATTTTGGATTTGATATTTTGGATTGTGTTCTCTGTACTCTGTACTCTGTACTTTGTACTTTGAAGTTGAAACAATTTAATCTATTCCACGGAGTACTCCGTAGTTAATTCTCTAATTCTAAATTCCACGTTTAACCCAGGGCTCCTTTTTTGGGATTACTCAGCCACAGGCAGCCGTATTCTCTCGGCCTCTTTTCTCGGTTGATCTGCCGATCTTCATATACCATCTATACATATACAATATACATATACCATATACATATATCAAGGATTACCGGCATGCGTACCCACGCACTCGGATGTGCAATTGGGACCAGGCTTCGGGAAGCGATTCATACAAGTCCAAAGGCCCAAAAGAAGTGCAGCTCTACCGTCATCTGGTCCCTGGGACCCAATCTGCCATCTACGATCTTCATCCTTGGCCATGCGATCAAAGTTCCGCGCATACTCATCCTCTTCGCGATAGCCGTCAAGAGTGAGTCGTCCTATCTGCATAAATAACATATTGAGCATCTTCAACACAGTGAGAGGGAGCTGCCCGTCCTTAATAGTGACCAGCTCGGCGACTTCTACAATTATATCTGAAAGGCTGCAGCACCGGTCCGAAAAACAGCTGCAAGTCAGCTTGTTGGGATGATCTGAGTGTTCCGTCCACCCAGAAAGTGTGTTGGCTATACGACGAAGCTCGGTTTGGATTGTAGCGACATCCTGACCTGAGATATCTCCGGCACACAGTCCCTGGATGTATACGACGAACTCATTTCGCGAGTCGTCGAAAAATTCTCGCGTGGCCTGCATAGTTGGCGCATCCATAGTAATGGTTAGTGTAGGAGTTCGAATAGATATATTTGGTTAGATGGTTCGAATCGATGGCGATGCACTATTCAATGCCCTAGGGGTGAACCCTTTTATACTCGAGCATTCGATCTTCGTTGGCTTCTGAAATGAAATGCTCTTTGTGTCTATGGATAAACAAAGGTTGAAAGATATATATAATAGCCCTAAACGAACAACAGGAGGTTCTTTCGAGGCTACATAACCCATTTTATCTCTTTAATGGACTTGTATAAAGAACTTGTTCAAAGAAGCTTGGGGCTTGATATACTTGGGTAATATATTTTCTATTAGCTTCTCCTGAAAGTTGCTCACAATATAGACTAATTATGTCTCAACCAGACCATTACATACATAAATAGATACAAAAATAGCTATTACAATAATGATCTTTCTTCTCCAATTAGAAAGTAGAAATATACTCTGTACCCAGCAGAACGATCAACGAAGGACTCTGAGACAAGTCGGAGCTCCACTCTCGGGGCTCCTTGTTTATCAGGTCTCCGCATCACAACCCCCTCAAAGACAACAATGGAACAAACTTTGACCGACAAGCTCATATCAATTCTCAAGGTTCGAGATATCCCAGTTAAGCGGGGGGTGATTGAGTCGGCATTTGAGGATGACAGGAATGCGCAATGGGCGTCTAAGCATCTCCGCCCTGACACCTTGCTATCAAAAGATGAACTCGCGTTGTACGTTTCATTTGTACCCCCCCTCCCCATTACAAGACATCACTAATCCGAGACAGATACCTCAAGCTTGAAAACTCTGGCGCTCTTCAACCTATTCTCAACAACCCAGACCTCGGTGCAACGCGGCCTATCCTCGAAGACGAATTCCGCAATGCGATCGAGTCCCTTGAAGCCTCAACGGCAACAATTCAGAAACAGACAGAGACTTTAAAGTCCCAATGTGCAAGCCTCAATAAGAAATTGGGTCTGGAAAACAACGTGGAGCAGCAGCGGAGCCGGGATATCGCTCGGCTGCAAAAAAAACACGAAGCGGGGAGGCAAAATACTACAATGGCGGTAGGGACATGTCCGTTACAATACGTCGTCGCGTGTTGCTGATCCTAATTTGATGTAGGCAATTGAGCTTGCTGATGAGTTGGAGGCCGATTTTAAAACCGCGACGGACAAGTCGGGCGCGGAAAACAAGAGAATACTCGCTTCTCTGTCTATCCGGTTAAAGCAGGACGACAAGGCGCTCGCAAGTCTGGAAACGCTCGTGTCCAGTATCAAGTATCGTGGGAATGATGCATCTACGATAAAACGCACGAATCATCTCTGTGCGATGCTGTCAGACTACGTGGCGGAGGAAATACACTATCGTCTCGATCGACTATACCTGGAAACAATTTACACAGGCGGCTCAAATTCCCATGTCATGGATGGGGCAACGAGCACTGCCCTCGAGGAAGAACTAGAATCGCTGTATCCGGAGATCGAAATCTTGGCAGAAATGTCGACCAGGCAGCAGTTCCACGAGCCTATCCTCCGTGAACTCCAGAACGAGCACGACCAGCTGCGAGTAGCGTCGCAGGAGAAACTAGAACAGGTACGAGGCTCTACCTCGGCACTGGCCTTGATCGGCAATGAACTAATTCATACTTTCCAGGCACTCGACATGTTGATCGAGATGACTTTGTCAAAGCAAGATCTCACAAACCAACTCGGGGTCCGGGAGTCGTCCTCGGAACTATTAGAGCAGCTAGCCGCGTTATACCAATCCGAAGCAGGCAGCGAAATCGTCACACAGCCATCATCCCGACGAGAGTCTCTGCGTCGCCGATCGTTACAACCAGGCCTCTTTCTCGCCACCCACACGCCCACTGCGCCTGTACCCGCCCAACCATCACTCGAAAGACTTTTGAGGGGTGTTGGTGTACCGCCGGAATCAATCCTCCACCCACGCGAGAATGGAGGGGTTAGTGACCTTCATGAGAAGCGATGTCACGTTTCCGAAACACTTCACGGTCTCAGTATAGCGGTAGACGCTCCTCTGGTGACTTCTTTGGGACCGTTAGATAATGCATCCCAGCTTCTTCGTTGCTCATTGCACGCCAACTCTCACTATGAAACATCACTGCGCGATCCTTCGGAGGAATCAGCGCTCTCGGGCCTCGAGAAAGAACTCGCCGGTCTTCAAAATGGGGTCCACAAGCTCAATTTGGATGTTCTCCACCAGCGTGATAGCAATCAAGATAGATTAATTGAGAGGTGGACATAGGAATCGTGGCGGAGCTTTGCTGCCCAAGCCCCCTCTCTTTCTTTCTTTTCCCCTTTCTTTTCTTCACGGTTCTATTGTTTCTATGAATCTACGCATTCATGCATGAAAATCCGTCTGATCTCACAGTCGAAGATGCCAATGGTTGGTTCCTAATCGCCGTTGGTTGTTTTAGCGCCAAAGTGGCTTGACTTCTGATTTGACGCTTGGCGGTGGCTGAAGGATTCCTTCACCACCTGGGCAGTGTCTGGATGTCTTGCTCCTGCATAATGTTGCGCAGTGAATATTTTAGGCAGTGATGCCAGTCATTGTATAGGGAATGGGACACTATTCTCCGAAAATGTTGGTGTTGGTTATGCTATGGACAATAACAGGTCGCGTTGTATCTTGACGCCCCACGTGCCTCTTCAGGTTGCGTCTCACTTGGGAGCACCTTGCTAATCACACTATATCAAGAAGTGTTATGATTTCTTTTCGGAGATGGAACTTCAACTTCGCATTCCTAGTGTGATGGAAGAAGTTGAACATAGGACTTTGTCACCAGGCAACTAGTCTTCAAACCCGCTGACTCGTTGAACTGCGCCCTGGTGACCTCAGGTTTGTATCATTATTTTTTTTGGGAGAGAGATATAATATCGAATATCAATATTTAATAACTTCGTTCTAGGTTTCCTCTCTGCAAGGAGAGGTTGTTTTGAAATCCATGTTCATTGTCGAAGGGTCGAATATAAAATCGAGTCGATATCTCATCAAGCTCTTTGTTTTCAATCTATATCCGACCTTGCTTTGTCAAATCTTCTTTTGTTTCGAGTCAAATATACCAATAGTCTTTTCTATCTTTACTCTTTGAAAGACATCACCTGCTTTCCAAGGTTGCCATTGTTCACATGTCTTACACATACTGTGCCTGGCAATTCGCCCGTGCCGTAATGAACGAGGTTCGTCGAGTCCCATTTCTTTATTTCTCTATTCCCCCAACAACTCCCTTGTTTTAAGGGAATCTTTATTTTTAGATGCATTGTTCAAGGACCATTTATTATCACTCCGTTGCCCTCGAGTTATCCTCGGGTTTCATCGAGTATCGAGAAGAAATTAATAGAAGACAGAGAACACGGCAGTGCACATACCTACACTCGACAGATATGAGATACCAACCTTCTTATTCGGTTTACAGGTCAGAACCTGTTCGTAACTTCAGTTCCCGGTATGCACCGCCAACCCATGAACCGCCTTCTAGGCTGTTTGTGGTAGATCCCCCGGACTATGAGCTGGCCTCTAATTTTGCCAGAAGGAGATATGATTCGAATGTGCGATTGTCAGTCAAATTGGAGACACGACAGCCTCGGTACAACAGAACACACAAAAAAGTTCGGTTCGATGACACCCGTTACGAGTGCGAAATCAGATACCCGACACAGAGTCCCCCGCGAGGATACGAACCTGAATTCAGATATCCGCGGTATTCCTCGCGAGGCCCCCGGTCCCAGAACACCTGGGACTCAACCCCTGCTGATATTCGGTACGAAACCAGAGAACCGAAGGTCATTCACCATGGATTGTATGAAATGTCGGGCTCGGGTCGGCGCTTCCTTAGACAACGCGGACGAGGGCCATCCATTTGGTTCCAGAACCGAGCATTTTGATTACCGCAGATGCATTAGGTTGCTGGCGTCTATAACTTCGCCGGGAACCTAGCATGTCGAGGGATTCGCAAATATTGGATAATACCGCCCACCTGGTTGTTGAGGGAGTCCCTCACTTTTTTTTTTTTTAGCAGAGAACGGGTTTAAGCCGGACTGAATATTTGGATTTTTTCCCCCTCCTAATCCCAGCGTAAGACTCCCATACCAATCCCGGCAGGCTCTCAACGATGACACGAGTCATATGCGCATGTGTCAGTCAGACCGGAGACGCCTCGGGCGTTAAGCATAACAATTCAGTTCGCCTGACTGTAACGGAGCTGTCGCGTCTCTAATCTGACCGATCATCGCGCGTACGACCCGTATCGTTGTCGAGAGTCTGCTATGATTGGTATGGGAGTCTTGTGCTGGGATCGGGTGTCTTGAGATTTTCTTTTGTATAGAGTTAGGTTGAGTATATAGGAGATTTCGGTTGTTTCTCTTTTATTGTCTGATTTGAGGGAAATGGTTAAATGGTTATGATCTCGATTCGAGTACTTTGTGTACTTTGTGTCCTTTGTATAGTTAGAGATTCCTACAACATCAGTCCAAGGTTAAGGTCACATGTGGCGATTTGCTTATCTCCCCTTTTTGCCTCTTCTCCTTATTTCCTGACTTGACTTGATTTGTTTGTTGATTTGTTCTGAATCGATTCAATTCAATATTCCATTCGATTTTATTCGATTTATATTCGATTTATATTCGCAGATACCTTAGATTTTAAGGTGAGTCTAACCTTTTGTAAATTAACGATCCAGGCTCTCATTCCATATAGAACTCCCCAAACAACTCACTACTCTCACCCCCGCTATACGACTCTACAAAGAGGAAACCCCGGTTATATCTCGCCTCAATTCCTCCCTCTCCCTCATTAATCGAACTCGAGATCCGCGCCACAACGAGGGCCTAAGTCCCAACGGAGGCCAGAAACCACTCGTTGGAAAATGAGATACCCAGCCGGGGAGCCACCATTCACCTCAAGGTCCAGGTGCGCTCTACTCGCAACCTACCAAGCCTGCGCCTGCGCGTGGCAGTGAAAATAATATACGCCCACCCACATCATGGCCACCG